ACAGAAAACAATACTCTTATCAAGGAACTACCAAGGACAAAACCACACCCCCACCAACACTGGCAGGGCAAGCTACTGTATATAAACAGGGAGCAAACCCCCCAGTCACTAGCACTGATTATGTTACCTAGTCTGGTAATGAAATGTCTGCAATCAAACAACCAAGTTCAGAGAGCAACAAGGACTCCGCTGTTCAACCCAGAGTTATATATATTCTGTTCTATTGAAAGAAGAGATAAAAGAAGAGATGAAAAATAACTCTGAGGAATCTGCAGGACAAATGAGTGGAGAGGTGAAACAAATTAGTGAACGTGGAAAGTTTGGAAAATAAACTAGAAATAATAGAGAGGAAATACAAATATTAAGTCAAGAGACGAAAAATGATGCAGATAATGATTACTGGATTAAAAGAGAAAGAATTCTATTTCAGTCCAAGAGTACTTATAGAACAACTTGGTAAAAATAGTAAGGAGAGGGCTGTTGAAGCATTAAAATGTTTTTTAGGATGGGAAGAAGATATGGACGGAGATCAGGTCCACCACAACCTTAATGTCAAGTTAAGAATTAATAATGCCAGAATACTATGTAAGAGAAAGGAATACAAAATTGACTTGTTTGATCAGGGACAAGACGATAAGTACTTTTACAAAATACTGGAAACTCTTTATGCACTTTTTGCTGAAAATGGATAGAACTGAGTTAATGGTTTTAGGAGTTACCAATTGAAAAAGATTGGATATGGGAAAAAGTGATCTATGTAATGTAATTTCAAAGGGGGATGAGGTACATTAAATCTGTTTGTAACTGCTGTAAAGAAGATCAGAAGTCACTTCCTTAAATATCTTTTTTTTCCTTTCCTTTCCTTTTTCTTTTTTCTACACATTTTCTTTTTTCTTTACATTTTTTCTTCTCTTTATTTTTCTTTCTTCTCTTACTCTTGTTTTGTATTACCTTTTACTATTGTTAAAATCTGTAATAAAAATTATTTTAAAAAAAGAAGGGTTATGAGCATTCAAATAAGCATGCTCACACCAGCAAGGACTTCTATTAGAATGACTGAAAGTACAGTCAAAGAGTCCTGCTAACTTCTCTTCCTTCTCCTTAAATAAAATTGACCTCGGTCCAGAAAAAGGTAAAGAGATTTCCCAGATCCCAGAATATCCCAAAGAACCCTACTGCTGACTGTCAAAGGCTAGCAGAGTAGTTGCTTTGCACAATGCAGCAGCTCCTCCACAGGTCCTAGAAGCAGACTGTCATTTCCCTGTATGAAACTCTATAGAAGGGGCACAGACTAAATTTAGACTAAGACTAATTAGACTAAATCAAAATGAAATGGTCCTTTCAAACTTTGCATAGGCCTAGAGCTCAAATTCTGTTTGTAGGCTTCACTTCTGTTGGCTTCTGAGGGAAACAGAACATTGGAAATGATAGACCTTAATGTTCTTTACTGTCTCCTCTTCATCACTTCATCATAGATGACCATTCAGGGAATTTGTCTGCAATTTAAAAAAGCTGGTGGAAGAACAACACAGCATAGTATGTGTTGTATGGAGCTTACTTACCTCATATTCCTCCTTGAATCCATAGCCTTCTGCACATTTCATCTGAGTAATATGTTGCAGTAAATCTGCAACACGAATGGCTGGATGAAGCTGGCCTGTCTGGTATGGCACATCTACAGGGTCTCGTTTCTTGTAGGTGTGTGACTGGACCAGGCTACTTGTGTCACTTCCGACGGTATGAGTTTCATCTAAGAAAAGAAGACTCAATAAAGTATCGGACTACTTCCAGTTAATATGCAAACTTAATGATACATTTGAATATGGCTTTTAACACCATCATCATCTTTTATAATCTCTGTCTAGGTGGGTTAATTATAACTACTGAGTAACTTATTCATGGAGATATCACGGGATATTGGAAAGAGGCAGAAGTCTATTGGTTTACAATAAAAAATGTGCAGACCATACTTTATTATTTTATTTACTTGTTTAAACCTACCAGTAAATTAGGAAATCTAATTTTTTTTAGATATTGAGTTCTGAATGGTTCAGAAATTTCAGATTGAAACTTCATCAAGTCCTAGTCTAATAAATAAGGACTTAAGTATTTCTTGGAGTAGGATACTATTTATTATTTTTCACAATAATTCAGGACTCATGTTAGTGGAAAGCAAAATGTTTAAAAATGCATAAAATGATATGGGTTGTTAAGCAAGAGAAAAATGGAAATGGAAATTGGATATATTAGGAAAGAAAATACACAGAATAACTATGAGGAAGCTTTTGATTGGAGATAATGCTTGACTGAAGTTAGCATGCTGCAAATTTAGGTAAATATATAACAAGGTCTATCACATCAGGCATGAAATGTTACATGTCAACTTACATGCAGGCCAACAAACAATATAACCCCACTGGACCGATCCAAACTGATGTGAAGCAAACCAACTCCCACCCTCCACAGCTCTGATGGGGCAATGGGAAACTTACCATTTATTGGCACTTTAAAGAAGATACGTATCAGGAAAAAAAGAGAAGGAGGAGAAGAAAAAAAGGAAACAGGCCATAAGCAACAGTACTACAGTAATAATTGCAGGTATTTTTATGGTTGTAATTTAAGCACCTTCAGTTTAGTTTCCTGTCAGACAAACTGAATATTTTGTAAACATAAAGGGCTGAACAACCAGAAAAATGTTCTTTTTCTTTTACCAAATTGTGCTGGTGCTCTTAATTTAATGTGACAAGGAAAAAAAAAAAAAAGGAAACACCCTCAACTGAGAATGAAATGTTTTAGTTTTTTTCCCATTGTAACAATTAAGCATTCACAAAGCTATTTAATATAAATTAAAATAAACAAGTATATCACCTTCTAAAACTATGGGCAACTCACAAATCCTTAAGCAGGGTTATTTTATTACATGGGACCAAATCAGATTAAATGACAGCCTGCGGATCATGTGGTTTGCTGTCTGGAACATTAAGGATGAATATGTAATGCAGGTTTTTACAGATTTAACTTTCTGTGTGAAAAAATACCCACTATTGTTTGTGTATTAATGGTTCCAATAAATTTAATCTCAAGTGGCAAAACAGAGACACAGATACATGAAACATTTTGACTGTTAACAGTTGTGTCTAATTTGACACTTTCTAGATGTTGAATGGGACTTCTAGGAGCTACAGTTCCAACACTTCTGATGGTGCCAGGATGAGAAGGTAGTATGAGAACTTAACACCATCCCGCTGTAGCTCCTTATGAATTACAGGTATGTCCCAATATATGCTCCTTTCAATATTCATTTATCAATATTTGTAGCGATTACGTATGACTAACAACAGCCTCATATGAGTACAATCCCAGCATATCTTCCTAATGGAGATTTGGTAATGATGTTATATTTAATTCTAAATATTAATATAAAGTTGAAACAAGTATTTATCTGAATAGCATAAACCTGGTTTTATGTTATACTGGCTAAAGAAAAAATAAATCAGGCTGGGATCTCCAGTTACCTTGCTTAGTTAGTACCTTCTAACATTTTGAAAAGGAACTAACTGAATGGGATAACTACAGATATTAGAAGAAGCATTTTTAGCATTTCCTTCCGGTATATAAATTGAAATGTTCAGAACTTGCTTTTTATGTAATGTGTCTAAATGTGTGACTTAGCTTTCCCCAAATACCTTATCTTAAATAACTCTCACAATTCCCAGTTCAAACTTCTGCACTGTGAATCATGGACACTGTAGCCCAGTGCAGCTGGGGGGAGGGGGAAGAGGGCACCAAAGTGAGGAAAGTTGATGTGCTTCAGTAATAGCATTTAGAGAGACTATTCTAGAATGAACCTAAACTAATAAGCCAATCAAAACTTTGGGCTGTTCAGTTTAATACCAAGTTTTGCACCTACACAACTATTTGTTGCGTTATGTTTAGAAAAGCAACTGAGAGAAAAGCAATGGGGTAGAAGAAACACTCTTTTCTTAAAATAATCCTTTCTCTCTCCAGTTTGGAAGTAAAGTGGGAGTTGAGCTTTACAGCACCATGTTTGCCACTGACATGAAATTCCATTTTAGGGTTGTTTGGTTTTTTTGGGGGGGGGGGTATGACAGGAAATGTTCCAGGTGCACATGTCATACCCTTGACCCATATGCAAAAAACCTCTGGCTCACTGGAGACAACTAGAGGGGTATGCAGACTTCTGTACACTCATCAGAGTTCCTCCAAGAGTGGGATACATTATCTATCTATCTTACATTGTTAGATTAAATGGTATATGAAAGGGACAGTTGAAAGGACATGACTTTCACTGTTCATATTTAGTAGGTGTTAATCTATAGCTCCGCTAACAATATAATCTGCAGATATTGATTTTAAACCTAATTTCTCTAACATTGAACTGAACATATTTAATTTTCATGAAATGTGGCTTTTTCTTTTCTCCATAGCCCTGACCATCTTCCAAAAATCTGTTTTTGGAATCTGAATTTTGAAGGAACTTTAGAAATTGTATGGAATGGATGGAGGAATTGATGGAAGTCTCGCCTTCTTTTGTGAATGAAGAAGGAATTTAAGAATCAAACTATTTGCTTTGTTTCCACGGTAATACACCTGGGGTCTTAGACACATTTCATAAATCCAGCCACTCATGAAAACTGTAATATTTTTAGATTTGTATACAAGATCCATCTTAATTAGTACTACACAAACCTCTGGAGCTTTTAAATGTAGGGAGCCAGATCCCACCTGCCCAAAAAGAGAGAGAGAGACAGAGAGAGAGGGAAGGAGGGATCACGGCCTAAAGTAAGTAAAGTCAGGATTAAAACTAAGCTTAATTTGAATTGATTTAGATTAAATATAATATTACATGTATAGGTGTTGAGCTCCATACTATGATTATTTCCAATGTATTGAAGAATTTTTCCCCCTTATGTTACATTTAAAATTACTATGTGATAACAACATTTTGGAGAGTCTCTGAGAGTTTTAATTAAGGCTTTGGGGCTGGAAGGTGAATACCCCTGCTGTTTAGATCAGGCAGGTGATGTACGCTGGACGAGAACCAGAATATATGTATACAGAACTATAAATGATAAAGGAAAGAACACCAACATTATTGAAATTATTTTGGCCTGATGGAGTGCACTGCCCCAGTGAGCAGTTGGTGAACGGTTGAATCCTAACTCTGAATATACATAGCAAATGTATGTCATACGAATGTGGCAGTTTCTCCCAGATTCTGGGGTGGGACTGTCTTATTATCCTGATACAAATACGGATATATGGACTTCCCTTTAGCTTCTCTTCAACAAAACTGGGACGCATGGCATTAGGATGCATGGTATGAAAGGCGATAGAGAAGTGTTGTTACAATATGTTGTTGCTGAAATGGCACCTGAATATTACAAGGTGGCTGAGACACAAAAAGACAAAATAAATAAGAAAATAAGTAAAGAAAGAAAGGGTTGGAAATTGGTTTATGATACTTCAAAACAAATTATGTAGAGACTTTATGGTTTCTGTTTTAGGTTATTACATTATAGTTAAGCAACGGGGTCCACTGCAGTGCTGTAAAACGAGGTCAATGCAACTTTTGTATATATGTTACATATTCATACATTGTGCTTTTATATAAAAAATGGAGAGCCTATTAGAGTTATTTCTGACAGATCACTCTATATATTAGAAACATACTTTTTCATAAAGGAATTTACATGGATCTTTGAAATATCCCATCTGCAGGCACTTGGATACTATACTTCTGTTATTCCTTTCTGCTAGAAAATGTATAATGATGTGAAATTCTAAACTGTGTTGCCAATATGTGAAACAAAGTTGACAGCATTCTGGTGTAAAGTGGCTTGGAAAGTCACAAATTCTCATATCTACTTATTTTTGCAGTATTAAGTTTCAGAACAAGATGGCAATGTGGTGAGAAACTGACTGAAATATCATTGGCCTACTTACTGTTTTCAGTTCAAGTGAAGAGCATTTTTGATGGGAACATGACATCTAATAGGGAATTTTCAGGCTGAATTGTTGTGAGAGCAGAATGTCCTGTTTCAAATGCAGAACATCTATTCTGAGTGTGAAATGTGTGCCTAGACATGGACTTCCAAAAATGCTTGGAAGGGCCTGTTCCACACCTGAAATGATTCAACTTGAGATATTTTGCACATCACTATATTATCTGATTTTTAATTTAACTGAGACATCCCATATTAAATTAACTACATGGGAATACTGCTGTTCTTGCTGGTCTGTGATAAATTTATCTACAGAAAGGCACTGTCATAAAAAATACACAGAAATGAATACAGTCAAAGTGAACTGTTTACATCAGTTCTACTTGCTTGGACTTAAAAGTGTTATACTTTGGTTGGCATGTCCCTGCTACTGTTACTGAAGATTTCTTAAAATGTAAAAGCATATTTCATATCTATAATTTAATGAGATTAAAAATATTTTAAAATTGTTTACCCTTGGCCTGACATTGCAGTCACTTAGTTTCCATAAAAAAATAGCATACAAGAATTGCTACTTTGAACAGATATGTAACTATAGCCAAGTTCTTGCACAGGAAAAATTGCATGTTAATAATCATTTTACTGTAACAGAAGGGAAAATTATTAAGTGCATGGGAAGTGATCTTATTTAGAAACTGAATAGATATAATTTGTTTTCCCCCCACATTTTTATTAAAATGGCTCATTGGCATCCTATTCAAGAACCAAATGAAGTTCTTGGTTTGAAAAAGTTTGCATGGTTATGAGTTAAACAGAAAAAGTTCACATTCCTCTCAGTACCTCTTTTGCTCCACAGAGCCCCCCCCCAAATCAGACAATTTTCAACACAAGCAGGGGCATTCAGTTATTTGGTGTCATGTGACTATAGAGAATAGTCAGAATTTAATCCTTATTGCAAGCAAATAACAAGCCACATATTTGTCATCTGGACAAACTATGACTTGCTGGGAATACATACAAATATTGAAACTACTAACTACTGCTTGCAAAAGAGGAAAGAGAGGTACCCTCACCCACCCACCTAAGGCTTGTGGTTAATTATTCTCCTAACAATAAATCTAGCTTGGTGTTATGTCTGAAAACATTTAAGATGAGCTTCAAAGGAGTTTAGGGTTTGGGGTTATAATTAATGCATATAAGAAGTAACAGTGATACAGTTCTTTGACATTATCATTTATTATTATTTTAAGGCATTCAGAGGTGTCTCAGGAGGGAAATTAAAATAGTTCTAAAAGGAAGGTTTGTGGGTTACTGATAGAAAGGTTTCTTTTCTAAAAGTTATACAAAATAGTTCTTGAACAACACTTCATTAATTGGTGCAATAAAAATACAACATCTCAACATGCACTTTTGTTAATCAAAGTGATTGCTTAGTAATTCTCTTTTCTACCAGAGAAAAAGTAGTTTCTATCAACTGTAACACAGAGCAAAAGATACAAATATATACAACAATAAAGTGTATTGGACTCTTCCTACAAAACTTTATAATTTATTCAGAAGGAGAGCTTCAGACCTCACACATGCATAGCACCTTTCTGCTATTTATTAAAGCAGCCCATCTTGTTTTCAGACTTCCACGTGAGCTTTAAAAAACCTGGATCTGCTTTAAGATAATTATACTCCTCAAGTAGTGGCACCTTTTTTTTAAGGCTTATGCTGAAAGCTGAAAAATATGTGTGTTTTTGAATGAACAACAGTGAGATGCTGTCCTTGTGCTAATTAAGAAGCAAACATACAGAGCTCTATGATTTAATAATAATGGGTTCTCTTTGTTTGCTGAAAATGTCATAACATCTACAACTTGCTACAGAAAAGGTAAGTGTAACAATCTCAGATGCTTAAAAATCAGTGTAAATTTCATTTGCATACACATTATTAGATTATTGTGGTGACTGCAGTCTCCTTTCCGGTAATTTATAAGAAATTATTTTCTTTAGATACCAGTTAAAATGATCTTTGCAAATTACAATTAGACTACAGCATTTCTTATATTTTGTAGAGGTGGGTAGGGGGAAATCACAAGTTGAGTCAGGCACAATGGATTTCTTTTGCCTTTGTTTCTGACAAAACAAAGGAAAATCACGCTTGACTTTCAGTACTTTAAAAACAATTTAGAATATGATTTGGCAGATTCCTGTACTAATATTTTTAAGTCCAAAATATTTTTGCTGGATGGGTGGGTTTTAAAGCTGCTTTCTCTTTTTAAAGCCCATGTACATTACAGTTTATAATAAATTCAACAACTTCAAACTGGACTTCCTATGGCAAAATTACACGCCAAGAAGGACAAGGAGAAAAGCAGCCACAATTTAAATACTGGAGTGGAATTCTTACTACATGGTATCGGATTGTTTTGCTTGGGTTAGACTAAGATTAGTACAGTAATAGTACAAAGCACAGCCCATTTTTGTTATTATTTATTTCATATGCAGTAATATTTCATGTTATTTTTATCTCAGCATGGTAAACCCATTTCCCTTCATTCTCTTTTTACTGGACAATCAGTAGTTTTTAGTTTCCTAAAAGAAAGGTAAAAATATGCTTCTAGTCTCAGAATTCTAGTATAGTATTTCCACCTGTATGGGATGTGGTACATTATATGCTGTTATTCTGATAGTCACAATCCCATTGTAATTATTTGTGATACACAAATAAAAAACAAAATGGAAATCTTTACTATGCTGTAGGCAACAGGAAAATGTCAGTTTAACAGATTTTGCAAATCATATTTAACACTAATTAACTTCTAAACTAAATTATGATGAACTTTTGACTGCCATGAAATTTGCGTTCTTTGATTTATCAATTCATTACTTTATAAATATGACCAATAATTAAAAGCCTCTGATTCCCTCCCCCCCATTCTACTAAAGCACCTATGACAATAACAACCCAGTGTGATAACTGGCATTTGAATTTTAAATTAAGAACAGTTTGCACATTTTCAACAGAATATTACACTTGTTTAAATACAATGTTTCACTACCTAGGTCTGAACTTTTATTGTTTCTGCAACAGACACTGATAAAGGGAAATGTTCTCACCTAAAATTGCAGTTGGCACAAATGGATCTGTCATACATCATAAGCAGGTCAATGCAGAAAAGGTAAAAAGAGAAAGAAAAGTAAATGACTAGTAAATGTTCCCATTTTTTTTTTTTTGCTCAGAAAGCCACAAGTTAGAAGCAATAGAGCTTTTACACTTTGAAAATGTTTTTGAAGAACTGCTCAAGATGTCATATGATTGCAGCACCTCTGCTATTTGTTAAAGCAGGTCAACTTTTTCAGGCTTCTGCATGAAGAAAAGAAGAAAACTAGTCTGCTGCTTTAAGAGTCATCTTGGTTTAATGTGTGGATTCCTCAGAGGAGTGGCATCTGTTCTGAAGTTCATGCAGAAGCCTGAAAAAGCCATGCGGCTTTAATGAATAGTAGAAGAGTGTTCAAACAAAGTCTGGAGTGCTTCTTTAGAATCATTTTCTAAAGTGTGAAAAACTCTAATAAGAAAGTTGTTATTTCATGCAAAAGGTATTTAGCTCTTTCGGAAGGATTTTATTTATATGGGCAATCACAAGAATGTATTATTTATGTATGTGTTTAAACTTTGGCCATGTACAGCATTTCAGCCTGTACTCAAAAAACTGATAGGCTAGGTCAGTGTTTCTCAACCTTAGCAACTTTAAGATATATGGACTTCAACTCTCAGCTGGCCGGGGAGTTC